AGAAATTTGGACTTCAAAACCATATTCCTCCCAGAAACAAAGTTATTATGGTGTCCTCCTGCAGTGCCAAACCAGCGTGGGCTCAGGAGGATGGCACTGCCAAGAGCACAGCTGCTGACTCCACTTTTATGTCTTGGTCTCACCTTCCATGTCAGAATGTCAATTTTAATACTTGTATAACCTCTGAATATTTCATGGGCTAAACTAAGGGGGTGTGTGTACAGATGTGAGATTTCTATTATGCCAAAATCAGGTAAGACAGAGGGTGTGAGAAGTCAGAGTAGCTGGAAAGCACCATGCCCACCACTAACGCTCCTAGGCAATCCTGGACACGTTAAACTCCAGGAAAGTGAATAACATAGAGTTTAAGGCACAAGGGGAGAAGCAAGCAGATAACCAAGAGGAATAACCTTGACTGATGAACAACAGGATGTGTGCTCTTCTTTCATGTGGAACAAAAGGCAAACATGAGACTTCACCCGTGTTCTTTCTGCCTGAAAACCACTTCTGATTGCACACTGCAGAGGTGAAGTTAGAAGTCAAACACAAGCCCTCAGTCTTCTCTTTTACAACCACAACCAGAAAACAGACAGAAGGGGATGAAAAATATAAATTTAGAGCCTTGCTCGAGGGATCCTAAATACAAGGAAGGGACTGTAGGCACTTTGTAATTTTCATGTCCTCTTGGGTGTTCAGAAAGGAATTGCTGGAGGGAGAAACTAAAAATCCATTAATTACTGAGTTCGTGTTGACCTAGACTACCCAAGTACCTCCTTCCTTTTTTTCTCTTTTAAAATATCTTTTGAAGGATGTGTGTCACTCTTTGAAATCAAACAATGAACAAAAAATAGATATAAGCAAATCAAGATATTCCAGCTCAGTAATGCCTAGGAGAGACTCTCCAGATGAGTGATGGTGTACAACACTGCAAGTATTTTAGAGCCCTTCATGACCTGATGAGAATCAGTCAGCACCCCACAGAGACACTCACAATCCAATATTGCATTAACCAGAATAACCAATAGGCCAAACTGGATGTAGGAGAGATCTTGGTTCAGATTTTCTCTTGCTTGCTTACAGCACTGGACTAAGATCTGCCTCTAAACTTAGCTTCCAGCTAAGTTTCATTACTGGTGTCATTACTGTCTTGGCTTTTCTGCACCTTTCTATGTTTCTCTGGTTTTGCTCAGAAATATTACCTGAGAATCTGCTCCACTCAAGCATCTAAGTCATAGGGGAGCAGGAAAAAAAAAAAAAAAGTCATTTCTGATGAATTTTAATTTCTGAATGGAAAGCTAAAAATAAGTCCCAACTAGCTGTAATCAAAGCACAAGTATAAATCACACATGATTCACAGTTCAGCATCCAGTGGGAGTTTCCTGGGAGGGATTGCTTCCCCAGGGCCCTGATTTTCAATGTGATACTGTTGTGTTTGGCTACTCTCCCACTTCTGTAGAGCACGAGTAAGATTCCAGCCTCAAGACTACAAATTCACTCGGGATGTTGACATCTGCAATCAAACTGAATGGTTTCAAGTGGACTCCATCCCCATAGGAGTCCATTTATTATAATCTGTGGTAGGTGAGATACCTTTCCCTGTTTTGGCTAGTACCAGAAAATAACAATAAAACTTTCACTTTTGTTTCTCTTTCTCCCTAAATTTCTACGTGCTTTGAGCTCTTATGGACTTGAGAATTCTCTGCTAATGCAGGCCCAGGAACATCTCTGTATCTGTATCTAGAGACTTCTTTTCCTTTCCCTCCATATTTCACTGTGTGTCTCGGGTATTGTTCTGCTTTCTCCATTGCCAATGACTAATTTAAATCGTCCCAGTTTTCAACTCCCTCTTGGTAGCCTCCCCCAGTCATCCCAGAGGAATTTCCTGAGACACATCCTCTCCTTTCTTTCTCACACTCTGTCTCCCCACTCAGTATCTAATAATTTATGTAAATGAATTCATCAGTATCAAAATAATATTGAAGGGAGAAGGAGGGTCTGACTGATCATGCAAAATATGTGGACAGCTCTGGGAAAACAGTGTTTCTTTAAATCTCTATATCCTGCAATGCACCTCCTAAAAGCTGCCTTAATCAAGACTGCTCATGTCAGCCAGTGATACTTAAACAATCTTAAGACAATAATTTTCAGATGAACTGCATTTTCCAGGCAGTAACCATAAGTCACTTCCTGCAGCTCAAGCCTAGCAGACCATTTCTAATCCTTAAACCTAAAATGATCTTCACTTATAAAACCACTCCTTTAAAAGAATGCAATCCCTTAAAATGACACTTTCCACAAGTGTGTTTCCCCATGTTCGATGCAGCAGTACAAAAACAAAGATTGTTTGCTGATGAATCTTTGGCATTTGCCATCCCTGAAGCTGTGTAATTGCCAGAAAAGGGTTTCTCTGAGGCACCTGGGATGCCACAATCCCTTTTCCTCACTGGCATCACTGCTATGACTAAGAAGTTGTTCATTTATTACACAGAGGTTCATCTATTTCACTATCTCCTCTGGTCGTTTTAAGTTGTTCTGCATTCAGCTTTTATGCTGCAGATATATTGGGCTTGATGAATGCAGACAGGAATTTTATTTCATTATCTTAAAATATTCAAATTACACATGCACAATAAATATTGACAGGGAGGTGAAAGGAAGGCTTCACTGCATCTCACAGCACAAGTTACAATGGCAGAAGGGAGTGGGCAGGGTGGGTGAGAAGAGCACAGCAGAAAGCCTTGAGTCTTTGGTGCACAGAGTGGGGACTGATGCTGCTAAACCCCTGAAGAATCATACCCTGCAAATGAGCCATCCTCGCCTTAGATCCATCTCCAAGATCCTCTGGGGGCGTGTGGGATCTTTTATGTTTCTGCACTCATTAGCAATACCAAGGGACCAATAAGTAATTGCATAAATTCTCTTGCTCATATTTTGGTACTGTTTTGCTTTAATTGGTGCTAGAAAATGAAAAGGGAAGCATGAGATAATTCAGCCTAGAAAAGACCTCAGGAGTTCTGTAACCCAGCCTCCTACTCAAAGCAGGGTCAGCTCTGGAATCACGGGAGGTTGTTTGGGGCTTTATTGAGTCAGGCCTCAAAAATCTCCAGGGATGGAGAATGCACAACCTCTCTGGACAACTTCTGCTTACAAAAGCTCACCTTTGCTTGCAGTCTTGCATCTGGTATAGCTGCAGAATTTTTTTTCTCTTTTTTTTTTTTTCCTTTTTTTTTTTTTTTCCAGCTCCTGGAAGCTACAAATAGTCAAATAACATTTTCTAGTTGAGGACCTTAAGCAACTTGCAGTCTACAAGCTGCCATTGACTTCCAGTGCTGTTTCCAAAAGCTGTCCTACTCCAACCCCTGGGCAGCCCCCACTCCCTGATGTGTGCAAGGTCCTGCCTCAGGTCCTGCTGTAAGTCTGCAGGCACACTTGGCTCAGATTTGCTGCCTATTTCATAGTCAGGAAAACCCATCTAGAGAGGTCTGTGATGTACATGTTGTCAGTCTAAAGTCACTAAAAAAGATGGGAATTTCCATTCACTGCCCTCAGTGCCATTCTCTACATTACCTCTGTCTATGAAACTTCAGTCCAAGTTTTCTCTTAATGGAGTGGATTTATCCCATATGGGATCCACAGTCAACTCCTTAGCTGTCACTTGCTTTTATTGCCTCATCTTTTTTACTGTATCTTTTGAAATTTACAGTTAATTCATAGATCTTGTTCCTAATTTTGATTCTGTTCTCCACAGAACCATCATTCCCTGCTTTTCAGAGCTTTTCTTCACTGTGTTCTGGGCTGGTATGAGTCAGACCAACTCCAAGACGCTGCCAGGGGCCGCATCAGGGTTTGCATTTTTATGTGCAGTGCTGAAATCTGGCAATTAAGATGCCAACAGACAAAGTCCTGCCTCTGGCAGCCCCTTTGCCCTTCACAGCAAGACATCTGAGCTGCTCATCCATTAGGCTCCTCATCACTGCAGCCATCAGCATCACACTTTATGGAAACTCACTGCCAACTCTGCTTTCCTTAAAATTCTGCCCTGTGGTCCTGGTGCTGTTTGAAAAGCAGTTTAGTTATTGGTGAGTGGGATGAGGGTAAAGTAGGGCAGACTGGGGAGGGAGGAAGGGGGAAGTGAACTGGCAGTGATAACCTCATCAGCTGCTCAGGATACGTTACCTCCTCTCATCACTCAGGGTCCCCAATCACAGAGGAGCACCAAAGGAAATGCAAAACTTATTCACCAGAAATAACCCTTCCTTTGCAGCTGACACAACACTGCTGCCCATGTCCATCTACCAGGGGTCTCTGTTATGGGAATATTTTTCCTCTGTGAGGAAATCCACTAACAAAATTTATTTCAGATTGATACAATATCAGATATTCTCACTGAAAGTAAACTTTCCTTTCCCCCCCAAAATACCTTTATTTGGGGTGATCCACAAACTCCACTTGAGACAGAAAATCAACATTTTGTTTTCAACATCTTTATTACGTGCCACGAATGATTTTAATTTACTTTTATTTGTTTCATAAACTTCCCCTTTAGAAATTTTTGTTCCAAAAAGAGAGAAAAATGTGCCCTGATATGACCGGCATTTTATGAGTTTTCTGCAAAATGAAATCCTCATTAGCTGATCTAATTTCTATAAATATTTTATCTTAATGAAATCATATATTTCAAAAGGAACATGGTTCTACCCCATGTCTTCTGATTTTCACTGTACTAGTTTAAAGATGCTTATTCTAGGCTACTGTAAGAACTTTGTTGGATTTTGCTATAACATTTTCATGGACCAGGTAATGCCAGCCGCAGGTAAGTATGGTGGGAAATGCCTTACTGACCACATTTGCCACTCCAGCCTCCTCATGTGTTATTTGCATAATAGGGGGAATATGAGCTACTTTGATTTTCAACAGGTATCCAAATTTTGCTTGAAGTAGGAACGTTTAATTTGTCTGAATTCTTGGAGCCTGATTCCCCACATGGAGCCGTGCACAGCTCTGGCCACGCCGCTGTTGCCAGCGCCATTGGGGGCTCTGTGAATCACAGGGGCCCCCACAGCGAGCTGAGAACGAATTTCCCCCTGAGCTCCCTCTTTGAAGTGATGCTCCAGCACAGCCTCGCAGGCCACGAGCAGGCTGACATTTTGTGCAGCTCCTGTTTGGCAACCAGGCTTGAAATAACAGCAAAGGAAGATCTTTGACCCTGGCTGATATTGCATATATCTAGATGCACTTCTGAAAATGTAGAGTTTTCACTAGCACAATTTGGGAGAGGAAGAGACGAGACAGAAAGAATCTTTTAATAAAGAAAAGCACAGGTATTTGTTTAAAAATACTGCATGGGAAAGAACATTGCTTGTATGGCTTAATTCTAGTCCTGAATCTGTTTGCTGTGACATTTACTGTTAAATCACTACCAGATTATCTTCACTGTTTAAGGAAAAGCTAAAATCCACTTGTTTTATCTCAGGGTAATTAGTTTGAGGGCTGTGAGGTTGAAGTCAGTATGTTCAGCTTGTAAAGCTAGTGTCCTTTTCCAAATTTTATGTTGAAGCTGTTACTGTTTGTAGCCAAAAATTACTTCTCCACCCCCATTTCAGCACTGTTTTATCTAAGCTCTTCAACCACAACTAGCTGAAACAACTCTAATCACCTATTTTTACTGTTTGAGTTAGGGAGTGTTCACAGGGCTCTTTTTGCCAGAAGAGCTGAAATGCTTGCAGAAAGGGAAAAGGGAAAGGGAAAGGGATGCAATTTCAGAGCTGCAAAATAGCAGCTGAACACGATAATATCTTCAGCTGGCAGAGGTGGCTGCACACTGAGCATCTGTCTATAGCCTAAAAGTACTGTTTTGTTCGGGGATTTGTTTGTTTGTTAGTTGGAGTTTTGGTTTGTTGATGACTGCAGGATCACTCCAACTGCTAATACAATTAAGAAAGAAACTTCAGAAAAAAGAATACTAAGTCCTATGGTTTTTAATTCCCTATTGGGTTTTGGGGAGAAGTAGTTTGTGGCAAACAAGGAAGACAAACCTGAATCCTTTGCTGCATCCTTCCTCCTGTTTAAGAAGATTTGTGATTCTACATCTAAATCCAACAACTTTCCATGTGGCCCTGGTAAGTTACATAAGCTAAACTTTTCACAATTTGATGTCTAAAACTAATCCTTTAATCCATATTTAGGATCCTGTAATTAACTCGTCTTAAATGTTATCTGCGGGTGCTCAGACATACTAAAAAATTGATAAAGTGTATACTTATTCTTACTTAAGGCACCCAAATTTGAATTTTTTGACCATAATGACTGCTCCTAGGTGTTAATGAAGACTTTCATACATTGAAGGGTTCTTCTAATTAAGAAATTTTAAATCACACTTCTCTGTAACTGCTGAAAATTATACTTCAAGCACCAAAAGAAGTTCAAAGTGGCAAGAAGCAAATTCTAGCAATCTTTTTCCTATTCCATGACAGGCATTTTTAGTCAATCTTCTTTTTTCCAGCATTTGGGGGAACCTCTCTCCTCCCTTGAACTCTGTATGGGGCTGGGTGACTCAAAGAGAGAGACTTGCTGAAGGTCATGGCGCTGGAAGTGGGGGGAACAAGAGTTGTCTTTTCAGAGATTCTGGCTGAACTGTTGGGAAAACAAGTTTGTCCTAATAGCTAAGGTGAATGAATTTAACTCTGTGTTCTCTGCCTCATGGATTATAGCTGCAGAGAAAACTTTTTTTCTGAGAAACTTAAGCTTTTCAACAAGCTCCCATTAGTTTAGAAACAGCAATAGATTCCCACCTGTCCAAATAGTCCAAACATTCTTACCTCCTTTCCCATCTGTCATCATGTCCCTCTTCCTAAGGTTACTGAATTGTTCTCCTTTAATGGAGGAGTAACTGTGGGATTTCAACATTGCCTAGTAAGTGGGAGACAAAGGGGGAAACAGGCCTGTAAAGCAGGATAAAATAAGTAAAGGTGTGGTGATTTCTTTTATCAGACTCTTCTTAAGTTTTCTTCCCTCCATTTCTATTACAGAGGCACCAGCCTGACAATCCCTGTCAGATGATTTAGGATGAGTAATAAGGGTCTTGGTTACTAGTTTTCTATGGACTGATGCACAGGATTTGTCAGGGAGGTGAATTTTGGGGTGGGAAGAGCCAGGTGAAATGTCAGAGGCTTCGCTCCCAAGCATTGGCCATTATCTCTTTCCCCAGGGCTGAGACATAGGACTAGGAACTGAAGGACTCATGTGTCACAGGCTTTTGTTTCTGGAACAGATTTTCCCCAAGTGGCTGATAACAGGCTCGGTCTATTCTATGAAGGATGTCTTTAGAGCCTGCCCTGATACATTTATTATAAACAAAAGCTACAGAATGTTAAATTTTGTCTCTAACAAAATGCTGCTCTGGCTATTCAGATAAAAACAGGTTTGGCTTGGGTTTTTTTTAGATGCAGAGCTGCCTTTGCTGTAGGAATTCTCAAGTATTAAGGAAAGATCAATACCACAGCTAATAGCCTAAGGTATCAGAAAACCTCACTGGAGGAAATGAGAATGTTGTCTGGAAACCAGATGATGATAATCCTCAGGATAAATGGATTTAGAGATTTCCGAAGCTGTTTTAGTAAACAGAGGACAGACTTAGGCAGTTATTTCAACAAGTTCCTTTACAAAAGAGAAAGAGATTGCCATTTTCCTGTTTGGTTTTAGTCTTGACATTGATGAGTTGCAGCGAATACTTATTAACCTCTTAGATGCAGAACCGACCTTTCAATAAAGCAACCTCTTCTCCTTTACAGAGAAATCTTAGCACCAGTTACTTTGACTGGCAAACATTGTCCTTGCACATGCTGTTGACAAAAGCTGGCAGAGATCCACTGTTTTCCCTGGGGTCGAGCAAAGGCAGGTGGAAAACTCATAAAGGACTCAAGGCAGAGCTGAGACAAGTACCAGGAAGCAGAGGTGCCTTGACTCTGCTCTGGGTTCATGGCTGTGAACCAGCAAGAACCAGAGCAGAGCAATGTTCAGCGTGGCCAGTAAGTCCATCCGAAGAGCCCTGGTGCCCAGGGCCAGAGCTCCATCCAGCCCACCCAACCCCATTCATCTTCCCTCTCACCGCCCCTGCAAACACCTCTTCCTCAAGGCAGTGATTCATAGCCTGGGTCATCTCTTCCCCTGTGAAAGCTATTTAATGATTTAGTTCACATGTGTTGTATTTTTTACGTTTACTGCTTCCTCTATGAGGATAAAAAAATCCCAAATGCAGCATCTGAGATCTGTGAGCTTGTGGTACTTCTGCAGCTGCTTAGAAATGTGCTCTGCATTGCTCACTGATCTTTCCTGTATTTTCTTTCCTGTTACAGAGGGCTGAGCTTAAGTGATTCATTTTCTCTGTCTTTGAATAGAAGCATTTAATCTGCTTTTTAGGTTTTCAATGGATTTTGGTACATCAGCTAAACTCCCCAGGCTGTGTGCAGAACGAGATCATCAAAAAGGTGAAACACAGAGGTTTGAACCACCCTAAGTGCCAAAGCAGTTTACCTTGCAGTCAGAGCAGGGTCAGCTATGCCCACTGACTCTGCCCAGAGAAGCTGTGGCTGCTCCATCCCTTGAAGCGTTCAAAGCCAGGTTGGATGGGGTTGTAATAATCTGGTCTAATGGACGGTGTCTCTGCCCATGTCAGAGGATTGGAACAATGTTTAAAGTCCCTTCCAATCCAAACCACGATGCTGTGACATGCTAGATTTGGTCCAGCACTGCCATTTTCCACATGTACCACATCCTGCTGCTCACATGGTTGTTGGCCAGTAATAACCCATCCCTCTGCCCCATGGAGCCTCATTTTCATCAGCCACTTTGTCTGAAAAAATTAATGTTATACTGTTAAACTGAGAGCAGTTACACCTTGCCCTACCTAGTTTCTCATCTATTTTCTCTGCTTGAGAATTGTAGAAAGGGCTATGTGCATGGAAACTCACCTGCTTTTTTCCATGTGTCTCTGTTGGTCTAATAAATTATATTACTTCTCTACAGTAACCTTTCCTTTCACACATTCTTAAAACTTGTTAGCTGTAAGAATACTATCGCTACAATATGTTATTATGGCTATTGTATTTCTGACTGAGCTGTAAAATCAAGGATCTTACAGTCATTAAAAATCCCCCAACACTCCTCACAAAAACAGACATGTTAGTTCAGGTTCCCTGGCCCAGTGAGCTCAATCTTTACATAATGTTCCAGCTGAATTGTGGCTCCCTTTACTTTCAGTTGTAACTGAGGGTTGTTAAACAGCTGCCATGATTCCCCACACTGCCCCGAGAGACTAAGCTGCAAATGAATTATAGATGTAACACAAGCAGCCTTTCACATGCGTCACCCAAAGCCTCTTACGTGGGTCAGAATGGTACGGTGATTGTCCTGTCAGATCACTGAGACAAAAATCCGTGGGCTTGGTGAGACGACCCCAGTGTATTGATTGCTATAAAGGAGACAGAGAATCTTTGACTTGAGATAAAAAGATATCAGACATCTGTGATTAACGATCAGCAAAACTTGAGTGTTTTAGAGAGAGCTTTTAATTGATTCTGTTAATGTTCCTCTCTGTCTGCATATTTATGCACCAGATGCGCACATGCAAAGTGTTTTGTTGTGCAGATCCTACGTGTGACCATAGATAAAATCTGTGAGAGGAATATGTGGCAGGGCTAGGAAAGTCCCCACACACTGTGGGTCTGGCTGCCGGCTCAAGGGACCATCTCAGTGCCAGCCCGTGGATATCTCAGGCTGTGTCATCCTGGGTCCCCTCACTGGGCTGGATCCTTATCCCAATGTGGGTCTCAGATTCAGTCAAAGAAAGAAACTGAGAATTTCTAGCCAGGCAGATGCCTGGGAAAGAGCTGGAGAAGAATGTAAATAATTCTTTATCTCTCTTGTTTTTCACATTTTTTATAGTTAAGTTCTATCACTGTGCGTCAAGCACTTTGCACCAATGTTGTGGGTTGTTTTCACTTCAGGACCAATGAAGTTGGTCCTCACGAAGATCTGTATAAAAGAGGGGTGTATTTTGAATAAACCGTAGTTTTACCCTCACAGCCTTCTGAATAAGAGTCTATTCATTCCCGTCCTGCCTCGACAGCGACATCCCCACCCACAGGCTGCATCCCAGCCTGCCTGGATGTGGCCCAGAGGAGGGGAGGGGATTCTGCATTTTCACTTGTAAGGAAGAAGACAGCAAGAGAGGGAAGGAAGGAGAAGAGGGAGAAGGCAAAAGAAAGCAGGAAGACAAGGAAAGGAGAGGGGGGAAAAGGAGAAAAATAAAGAAAGAACTACAGAATACAGTGCAAATATCTTCTTACAACTACAATTAAATGTAGACTCCTCCAAAAGAAGAAATAAGGAGATGACAGTGGGGACTGAAGCTTGGACTCTGTCCAGATGCTCAATTGACTTTGTCGTTCCTGTCCTATTTTGACCTTTCCATTTTTCAAGGGTAATTAAGCACTCCAGCTTCAGATTAGATCTTGCTTCAACTAGTGATTCACCTCCACTGACAAGGTAAAGAGCTACACAGAAAGGTCCAACCTGGCTGCCCAAACAGCCATGTCCATATTGGTCTTATTTTATGTGAATATAATGCCACCAAGTAATTAGCAATAAAAATACTGTGCAAGAGCTGTGTATGACATTAGGATTGAGTAATTTGGTCTTTAACCCATCTAGCAGCTACTACAGGATGCACTAAGTGACTGAAAACCATATATCTCATTACAATAAATATTTTATAGATGACATCTCAGCCCAAATCACCTTCCATGACATTGTTTTTAAATCCACTGGCAGGTGATAGAGTGATTTCAGTGGCTGGTCATTGGAAAAGAAGTCTTCCGTTGCCATGTTAAAATGAACTCTTATTCATAACAACCAAATGTTTTCATTTGATCAGTGTCAAACATCAACAGTGCAATAAACTGGTGACCCTTCTTCAATTTCTGTCACCCAGAGGACGAAGGACCACTTCTTCCCCACCTTGGGTGCCTATTTACCGTTTCTCACCCTTGGGCTGACACCTACTTGTGAGAAAACTCTCACAGTGGACATCCTGCTATATTTGTTTTGTGGAGAGACAGAA